TGTACACTGGTCTTTACCAACTTTTCTGTATTTGCTTATTAATTTTGGTGGCTTTCTTGGTGCATTATTGGGATTTCCTATATATAGGGTCACTCTGTCTGCAAAGGGCTTTACTTCTTCTAATTTGGATGCATTCAATTTGTTTTCCTTTCTCTCTCTCGCTTTTTTCTAGACAGAGTTTCTCTGTGTAACTTTGTAGACCAGGCTGGCCTCAAAACTCACAGAGATCCGCCTGCCTCTGCCTTCCTAAGTGCTGAGATCAAAGGCGTGCGTCACCATCCCGGCTCTCTTTTCTTTTCAAAATTTATTTAACTTTATGTGCATTGGTGTGAAGACAGTTGTGAGCTGCCATGTGGGTGCTGGGAATTGAACCTGGGTCCTCTAGAAGAGCAGCAGTGCTCTCCAGCACCTCTTTTCTTTTTGTTGGTCGTCTCACTATGTAGCCTTGGCTGGCCTGGAGCTCCTGAGGGCTGTGATTAAAGGCATGCACCATCATACCCAGCCTCATTTGTTTTTGTTCCCTTGGTGCTCTGGCTTGAACTTCTCTACTGTATTGAATAGTAGTCATGAAAGTGGCCATTCTGGCCTCGTTCCTCATTACCTTTTGTTGTTGTTCCTCATGTTCTAGGAAAACTTTTTAGGCTTTCACCATTGAGTGTGATGTTAGCTGTGGGTTATTAGTATTCAGGCATCTGTACTGGCCTGCTCTTGGGGTCCTGACAGGATAGTCCTCAGCTGTGTGACACATTTGTTACATTTCCTTATAAAAGGCAGGCCTTGCTCACCTCAGCTCACCACCCCCCCACCCCCACCCCATCTCTTGCCATTCTTGTCCCCAGGGACTGGTTTTTGTCCCCCTATACCCTCTCTGCCCCTTTCTCTGTCTCCTTTTCTGCCCCTTCTCTCTTCTCTTCCAATACACTTGCTATGTGAGCCCTGTTATGGCCTGACTTCTCTTCCCACTGTTCTTTTGTTTATTTGTTTGTTTTTCGATACAAGGTTTCTCTCTGTGTAGCTTTGGAGCCTGTCCTGGAACTCGCTCTGCAGACCAGGCTGGCCTGGAATTCACAGAGATCTGCCTGCCTCTGCCTGGGATTAAAGGTGTGTGCTACCACCGCCTGGCTCTTCCCAATGATTTTAAATCAATTATAACAAAGAACCCTTGCCACACTGAGGAAGTTCCTTTCTGTTAATAGTTTCCTGATATTTAATCATTAAAGGATGTTGGACTTTTAGTGATTTTTTTTTTCTGAATCAACTAAAATAGTGGTGTTGGTTTTTCTCTTTTGTTTTATTGATGCATTATGTTGGTTACTGAAGTCTTTATCCTTGGAATGCTTTATGTATAATTCGGAATCAGTTAGGAATTGTTTTCTTTCATGTTTCTTTGGGCGAGTTTGAGAAGGACTGATGTTGATTCTTTTAAGTGTTTGTGGCAATGCTATCCGTTACCACTTTTCTGCTGTTGGTAGGAAGGTTGTGATTTCTCAGTTTCTTTGTTTTGAGTTTGTTGATATTTTCTATTTCTTCCTGAGTCAGTTTTTGTAACTGGTGAATTAAAAAAATTGTTCACCTATTTAGCTTATTTAATTTGGTGGCAAATGATTTTGCATAATGTCATTTTGTATTTTATTTCTGAAAGTTGGTAACAATCCCCTAAGTCATTTCTGATTTTAGCTGTCTTTTCTAAAATATACATTCTTTTCCTTAAAAGTCAGTCTGACTAAAAGCATGTTGACTTGTTTTATTTCTGTGTATGAAGATTTTGTCAGCATGTATGTCTGTGCACCATGTGAGTGCCTGGCCAGCAAAGATCAGAAGAGGACTTTGGGGATCCCCTGGAACTTGAGTGATGGATGGTTGTAAGCTACCATCTGGGTACTGGGAATTGAACAACTGCGCCTAATGGCTGAGCTATATTCCCTAACACTCCAAATTTTTTTTTTGTTTTTTTGTTTTTGTTTTGAGAGAGGGTCTATGTTACTCTGACTGCTCTGGGACTCGACTCACTATGTAGACCAGGCTGGCCTCTAGTTCATAGAGGTAATACAGCCTCTGTTTTCCATGCTGGGATTAAAAGCATGTACCACCACACCCAGTGTGCTGATGATGCTTTTGTTATTGTTGAGACAAAGTCTTGTTATAAAGCCCTGCTTGGTCTGGAACTTGGATTGATCTTCTTGTCTTTGCTTCTCCAGTGTTGGGATTATATGTGCTACCATGCTTAGGTCTTTGAACTTCTTCTTCTTCTTTTTTTTTTTTTCTTTTCTAATACTGTGGGTGGAACCTGACACTTAGTTACGCTAGACAAACTACCACTGAACTGTGTCCTTGTTTTCATACTGTTTTATTTTTTATTTAGTCTTTTGGTTTTTCGGGACAGAGTTTCTCTGTGTAGCATGGCTGTCCTGGAACTCACTCTGTGTATTAGGCTGGCCTCGAACTCACAGAGATCCCCATGCCTCTGCTCTCCAAATGCTGGTACTAAAGGCGTGAGCCACCACCTCCCAGTTTCATACTGCTTTTTAAATGTAGGTGTTAGCTATCCATAAGTACTGCTGTTGAGTGAGATGTCCTAGATGTGTTTGATCTAATTGGCTTGTTCCCTATGTTCTCATTCATCTTTTTAGATCTTCTATTCATTATTGGAAATGAGTATTGAAGTTTTTGGATATTAGTGTGGAATGCCGATTTCTCTCTCTCTCTCTCTCTGGCTTGGTGTTTTGTTTTTTTGAGACAGGGTTTCTCTGTAGCTTTGGAGGCTGTCTTGGAACTCACTCTGTAGACCAGGCTGGCCTCAGACTCACAGAGATCCACCTGCCTCTGCCTCCCAAGTACTGGGTTTAAAGGTGTGCACCACCATTGCTCCACGTGTATTTCTGTTTTTCAAGCAGTAGTATTTGTTTCATATGTTTTCTTTTACATTCTTTGGTGTGTATATGTTAATAATTATTAATATTCTTGATGAACTGCTGTTCTTCCTGATGTAGCTTTCTGACTTTTGATATGTGTGTGTGTGTGTTTGTATGACTGTATAGGCCTGAAGTCAGCCTCCAGTGGTGTTCCTTGGTAGTCATCCTGAATCTTGCTTGTTGAGACATGGTTTCTTACTGGACTGAGTTGCTCATTAGATTATGCTAGCTGGCCAGTGATCTGCTGTCACTGCCTCCTCAGCTCTAGGACAGTACATTCTACAATACTACTTTATGAGGATACTGGGGATAGAACTCAGGTCCTCATGCTTGTATGTCGAGCATTCTACCATATACAGTATCTTCCCAGGCTTACATTTTTTTTTTATCTTTTAAAGTTTATTAATATGGCTACTTTGCTCTTTTGGTTACTACTTACATGCATTATTTTTAAAGATGTATTCTAACTTTAGCCAGGCATATTGTCACACACCTTTAATCCCAGCACTTGGGAATCAAAGGCAGGTGGATCTCTGAGGGTTGGAGGCCAGCCTGGTGTACATAGTGAGTTCCAGACATCCAGGGCTGCATAGTGAAGACCCTGTCTTGAGACAAAGCAAAACAAACAAAAACATTCTACCTTTCTATATATATATATATATATATATATGTCTTTTGATCTAAAATGATTCTCTCATACATAACATACAGTTTGATAATTTCATCTGTTTTAAAAGTTTTATTGGATCATGGATAGGCCCATTTATTTATATGTGTTTGTGGCAGTTTTCATGTTACTGTGATAGTGTTTGAGACATGGCAGTGGAGACTCTGTAGTTTGCAGAGCCTGAAATAGTTACTGCCTGATTCTTTTTAGGGTGTTTACTGACTCTGGTCTAGAATGTCTTTTTTAGTTTTCTTGGCTATAGTCAATAGTACATAGTCTCACATAGCAGTAGCCTGATGAGATTTATCACATGTAGCCTGCATTATCCTGAACCTTGCAAAGTGAGAAATTCTGACAACAGATCTGGGCATTCCAGGGCCTAAGCTGGCTGAGAAGAGAGGAGCAAGCTTCTTGCCTTAAAGTTAGGGTTGGAGGCAGCATGACTGAGATGTGGTCATCCAGGGGAGACTTCATTAATGTGGTTAACTGTTCTGATTTCCTGGGATAGGGCATTTCTTAGAACACATTATAGATTTACTCATTTGTCTCTCTCTGTGTGGATTTATATATATAGGTAGGTGTGTGTGTATATGTGTGCTGAAAGCCAACCTTGGGTATTTTTCTTCAGGAGCTATCCACCTTGATTTTGGAGACAGAGTCTTTCACTAAAGCTTGGAGCTCACCAATTATGCTAGGCAGGATGGCCAGTGAGCCCCAGGGATCTGCCTGTCCATGTCCCCAGTGCTGGGGTTACAAGTGCATGCCAATATACCTGGCTTTTTCTGTGGGTGCTGAGGATTGAATTCAGGTCCTCAGTTTTGCACAGAAAACACTTTAATGACTGAGCTATCTTCTAGCCCAGTATTTTTGTTTTAAAAGATAATTGCCCAGCTTGGCAGTGGTGGCCCATGCCTTTAATTATCCCAGTACTCAGGAGGCAGAGGCAGGTGGATCTTTGTGAATTCAAGGTCAGCCTGGCTACAGAGTGAGTTCCTGGACAGCCAGGCCTACACAGAGAAGCCCTCTCTTGAAACACTAAAAAAAAAAAAAAAAAAAAAAAAAAAAAATCAATTTCCCTATAGAAAGAACTATAGATAGCAACTGAGGCATGCTGGGAGTGTGAGAAGCAGTCTTCCCCAGAGAGGAGCACACTAATTGTTTATTGAATACCAAATGATCAGTCCCAAAATCATCCATATAAGTAATATTATGTGTATTGATCTGCTTATATTTAGGAATATATATGCATATATGCATGTAATAGCAATGATAAAAGAGGCCATGAATTTGAAAGAGAGTAAGGAAGGGAATATGAAATGATTTGGAGGGAGGAAAAAGAAAGGAGAAATGTTGTAATTCTACCCCACCCCCACCCCCAGTCAATTAGTCTTCAGAGTCTAACTTGTGCCCATCTACTCTAGTACCATTCAGGGAAACCCCAAGCTATGCAAAGCGACGGCGTCTGGCTGGCCCAAGTGGCTTGGCATCCCCCCGGCCCTTACAGCGCTCAGCCAGTGACATCAACTTGAAAGGTGATGCACAGCCTGCAGCTTCTCCTGGGCCCACTCTCCGAAGCCTCCCTCATCAACTGCTGCTTCAGCGGCTTCAGGAAGAGAAAGATCGGGACAGGGATGGTGAGCAGGAAAAGGACATCAGTGGCTCCTCAGCAGGCAGGGGTAGCCACAACAAGATCAGGTAGGAGGGCATGAGAGGTCCTGAAGGGGTCAGGGTGTGTCGAGAGCTCTGACAAACCAGAGCTGAAAGGCAGGGAAAGGTACCTGTGATGGGCTGAGACCTACTGAGGAGTGCCTGGGTGGGTTTTATTCAAGCTGATCTCCAGAAGAAACTGGGGCTTGCTTGAGGATAGCAGGCAGCTGAGGGAGTTGTGGATGGAGAGGGTATGGTCCAAGTTGTGGTTAGAAAGCTCATTTGTAGCATGAAAACTGGTAGTAAGTTGGTTGGGAATGTCTTTCTGTGTAGGTTCAAAGCCTACAGGTGGGAGTTACCCTCCTCTGACCCCCAGCCCTATATACCTACAGCACTTTTTACCTTCTTCCTGAGTCTTGGGACCCTGAGAAGCCAGGGTATTTGCAGTACTGACTTCCCCATAACTTAAGAGTAGGAAGCATAGATTGGAGCTCTTAGCATTTGTAGGTTTAAGAGTGGCACCTTGCCGGCTCCTCACCCATACAGTACAAGGTATTTCCTTTGAGATGCTTTCTGGAGTGCCTGTGAGGGTTTGTCTTCTTGGACCCTTGTGCACTGTCTGTGTTAAACACTGGTTGTAGTCTTAAATTTGCCTTGTGTTCAGGGGCTGTCTTTCTTGCCTCCTGCTGTTTCTCCAGAGCCAGGTATAGAGAAGGTGTTTGGAAGTCTGTTGGAGGAAAGTGTTACATAAGCAGCATGTTGTTTTTCACAGTGTCGGCCAGCTCTTATAGCCCTACGGGTTGATGCATGCCTGGGCTGAGCAGCAATTTCTTGCTACTCAGTTAACCTCTATTACTTAGGCTGTGTCTGCTAATGTCATTGTGCAGGCTGGGGTCCTGATGCCGGGATTGGGTTGGATACTTGTTTAAAGTCACAGAGAGTAGGAATCAGCTGACTTGGGTACAGGTGTTTGGTAGAAGGTATTATTTGATGCAGCTCACATGAAGTTTTCCCTTTTGCATTGTGCCAGTATACTGCCTGATTTTCATGTTGTAGGCATGTTGGACTCCTCTCCCCCTAGGGGTGCCTGTTTGAAGCATTTACACTGCCCCTTGGGTTTTCTAAGAATGGAGTGGGGTTGGTGGCTGAAGAGTGCATTCTAGGATGTTGTAGTTTGGCAGGAGGGCTGCTTTCCGAGTGGAATATTGTGGCTGCCACTAGTCCCTTTCTTTTGTGCTTGTTTACACTTGCAGCAGGCACAGAATAAATACCTCTATTCTAGGGTCTCCAGCTCACCTGCTCTTTGGGAGGGCAGAATTCTTTCTTCTCCATATTCATTAGGTGACTGGAATGTCAGATATGCATATGTGTGTGTGTTCATGTGCTCTCGAGCCTGTGAGTGTGCTCAAATGAGAGTATGTGCATACATATGTGTGCACAGCTTGCCTCTGCGTGTCCTTACCTCCCCACCCCCCTCCCATTCTCACAGCAGTGGACCTGACTGGTTCTGAGGAAGTGGACAGTTGGGCTTGGAGCTGAGAAGCACTTAGATGAGTTGTGATACAGGTTAAGGCAGCTTACCTGGTGTGACAGTGGTCTGCCAGACAGGATGTGGCAGACCAAGTTGGGTGCATTGAGAAGGAAGATACTCTCAGACACAGGTTGCCTGTTGTTAAAAACAAAACCGATGGTGTTCATGGACCCTGGTGGGGCTGCAGTAGCTCCTTGTTGCTCCCTGTTGGCCAAGGCTGGCATGGAGCCCAGAAATATGGTCTATAGGTTCTGGCCCTGGCACCACAGTGGAGCCTACAAGGGCAAATTTGAAGCGACTCAGCAACTTAATCTCTGGTCAAAAAGCCAAGATTATAGTTGTTTAGGTGGTGTTAACAGTGTTGCATATTTCTAAGTCGCAAAGTGCTGGTCATTGGCAGAGCAGGTGAATTTGGCCTGTCTGGGTACTAGGGAGCCCAAGCAGGCTTCTGGGCAGAAAGGAAGATCAAGACCTCAGACTCTACCCAAGCCCGGAGAAGTGGCATGGGGAAGGTGGTGAACATGGGCCTAGGGACAGGTGTCTGAGATGAGAGGAGACAGGCGCAGAGGCAGGAGAATTGGGACGCCCAGTGCACGCTGGTGGCCAGGGTGCGCCCCGCCTGCCCTTCCCTGGTGCCCGAAGCCTCGGTGCCAGCCTTTCTCCAGCTCCTACCTGCCAGTTCTGCCCGGCGTCCCCCGTGCGCCCACCTTCTGGCCCTCGTTTCTCTCCAGCCGCCCGCACGGGGTCGGTCTGCTGGGGGCACCGCGGACCCAGGGCGAGCTGGCCGCCGCCGCCCGCAGAGGGAGGAGCTGGCGGAGGAGGCGGGGCGCGGAGCGGCCGTGGCTTGGAGCGAGCCCGGCGCGCCCGGGAGCGCAGCCCCGCGGCCCCCGAGCCCTGAGCGGGCGCGGCTCGTGCGCTGGCGGGAGCGGGCCGGGCGCGGCGGCGCGGCCCATGGAGCGGCCCCGGGCCGGGCCCCCGGCGGGCGGGCGGGCGGCGGGCGGGCGGTGGGCGCTGCGGCGGCGGCTGCGGTGAGGCCGGCGGCGGGGCCGGGCCGTGCGCCATGGAGGCCCCGGGCGCCGGCTTCGCGTGCCCGCTGCCCCCCGGCATCGCGTCCGTCACCTACGTGTTCGTCTACAGCCCCAGCGGGCCTGGCGGAGCCGGCCCCGCGCCCGGCCCCGGCCCGGCGTCTCCCGCGCCCCCCGCGCCGCCGCCCCGGGGCCCGAAGCGGAAACTTTACAGTGCCGTCCCCGGCCGCAAGTTCATCGCTGTGAAGGCGCACAGCCCGCAGGGCGAGGGCGAGATCCCGCTGCACCGCGGCGAGGCCGTGAAGGGTGAGGGGCGCGGGCGGGGTGAGGGGCGCGAGCGGGGTAGGGGGCGGGCCCCGGGGCACGCGGCCTGATTCATGCCATTTTTGGGGTCTCTGGGGTTGGGGTGTCCCCGGACCATTAGAGCAAGCTGCTGTGCTGGGGTCTCTGTCACCGGCCCTGGTTTTATGGGCTCCTGGCATGAAGCTCTAGCTCTGTCATGGTAGAGGTTTTGGCTCTTGTGGGGCGGTTCTTGTTATGATGGGGGCCACTGGCACCTGGGTCCTTGTGTTAGCAGGACCCTAACCCATGACGGAGCTCCCACGCCTTGTGGGGTTCCTCATTGGAAATCCTTGGGATACAGGTGAGGGGGGGGCTTGCCATCTTCAGGGGTCCGTAACAGTTGTGGTTGCCTGTGTACAGTGCACATTTCTTCCACGGATGATGCCTGTTGGGGGAGACAAGTCCCTCTCATCATAGGGCTCTCTGTCGTTATTGGGCTCCTACCTTGGGCACTCTGTGAGGTGGAAGTAGTTGTGAAGATCGGCCCTCCCGGTACATCATGTGGCTCACTCCACTGGCTGCCTCCTGATGACCCTGAGCTCTTGGCAGTGACCAAGGTTGGGGGAAGTGGTCACTGTGGGCCGGAGCAGGAGCGTGGCCCCTGCTTCTGCCTCTGTCCTCTTCAAGTGTGTCCATCTGTGTCTGTCTATCTCCCACATGCCCATCCTTTACTGAGGCCATCTGTTCAACCCTCTCTTCTCTGTGGATCTCAGAATCTCCCCAGGGAAAATGCTAGGAGGCTGTGGGCTTGGAAAGAGAGCAAGGGTTAGGGTCACAGGCACATCTGAGCCTCAGGTGGCAGGGAAGCGGGAGCCCCCCTGCTCTGCTTTGTACTGACAACCTGTCTGGCTTCTTTCCCTAGTGCTCAGCATTGGGGAGGGCGGTTTCTGGGAGGGAACCGTGAAGGGCCGCACTGGCTGGTTCCCAGCTGACTGTGTGGAGGAAGTGCAGATGCGACAGTATGATACACGGCATGGTAAGTGACCCCAGCTTTGCCCAGGGAGCCCTCAAAGGGCCTGTGCTTCTAGTCTCTCTTTGGTCTTCTCGGTAACAAATTTGGACATTCACTGAGACTGTGGAGTGAACTCAATTACACTCAAGATACATACAGATTTGTATATACATGGTAGGTAAACATACATGTCCCTAGGAACATGAGTGTGTGAACCTGACATGTTCTAAACAGCAAAGAACCTTTGCCATGCCAACAGGAGGTATGCACTCAAGGCCATCCTCTGTCCCAATGTGGGCACATGAGTTTCCCGAGATGGTGACCACCCCTCTGGTACAATCTTCCCAGAAATACCAGGTACTTGGAGCTCCCAGTTCATGAGCGACTGGTAGATAAGTAAGGAGGTCAATGTGAGAAAAGAGGCGTTTTTCCAAAGTGGACAGATTGTCCAAGTGGGCAGAGCAGGAGGCCTGGACCAGCTAAGAGGAAATGAGGCCAGTTGGGCTCCAACGAGTGGTTTGGAGTACCCTGGGGTTGATATGGTTTCAGGGCAGCTAGCTGATGAAGGATGGCCTCTGTTCTTACAGAGATGTGAAGGTGAGGGCTGCAGCTCCTGGGGCCGCTGAGCAACTGTGGTCCAATCTTGCTGAATGCTCCAATATCTAGGAAGGACGGTCCCTTTAGGTGCTGGTGAAAACAGTGGCTGGTCCTCTGCAGCCCCCGTGTGGTCTGGTTACATGTCTGGGGTATACCCTCTCACTGAGTAGTTTCACTTATTCATGGCTTATGGAGAGTAGACAGAGTGGGATCTGGGTGAAACTGATTTCACAGGTTTGGGCCCTAGTTCCAGTAAGACCAAGTAAGGAACAACGATTAGGGGCTGCACACCTGTTGAATAGGAGGAGCTAGTCTTGTGCCTTCCCTTATGGGGGTAAGGTTCTGAGAACACTGGCTCCAGGAACATTTGTTTTGAAGCTCAGAAAGGGAGAGTTGGAGTCAGACTTGGAGAGGGGCAGATGTCTGTCAGTTTCTCTTTAAGTTGAACCTTGTGTAGACTCTCAGTGGCTATGGCAAGTGTCCACATCGCCATTTCTCCCCACCCCATCTGCGGATGCATAGGCTGTTGAGAGTGGGAGATCCACATTAGCTTGAGGAAGCCAAAGAGAGTTTCAAAACAGAGATGTTGTTTGGACTGAATTCCCTAGGTAGTTTGCAGATGGGTCCCACAAGTTTCTAGGGATCCAACATAGTGTTTTAGAACTATGCCTGTTGCCAACTTCTGTATTTGAGCATTGCCAGACATGATTTTAGTATTTTTATATGAATGAAGTTGTGAACATGATCCCAGCAATCCTCAGAGATGGGGCCAGTGGTTAGTATATTTATGGGATATCATTCACCACAAGGGGCAGGGATGTTTAATTGCTTTTTATTTTGGGGCACATGCAGTTAGCTTTGTGAGGAATGGCATAACTGGAGCGGGTGGTGGGGTGAGTGGGGTGGAGGGGGCATGAATCTAATCACCAGTCCTTGGGGTCAAGGTAAAGAATAATCTTTCGGTAGGAGCTGACCGAGCAGATATTTTAGGGTCAAGATTAAGATCTGGGCAGGGCAGAGCAGTGAGTAGGATGTGTCAAAGTCACAGAGAAATGATGACAAGGGGAGACATGGGGCTGGGGGCTTTCTATCAAGCGCGGGACTCCTTAGCAGGACCACAGCTGTTATAGATGACCTGAAGGAGTGGGATTCAAAAGTACCTAGGTGGATGGGAGCTACATTTGTGGGCTTTACTATGGCTGCCTTTTGGGAGGGGCTAGGAGCAGTCATGGCCTCCCTCTGACCTCAGCAACAGTGCCTGACTTGCTGGTCTGGGCAGAACTTAATGCCTGGGATTTAGGCTGAGTTGTGCCAGAGAGCAGAGGGCATCTTAGCAACAGGAACCTGTTTCCAACAGCCCCCCCCCCTAAACTTTAATTCAGGAACCAGAGTGGGAGCAGAGGAGGGCTTTTAAAGATGAAGGACAGCTGCTGAGGTACACAGGTTAGGTCAATATCTAGCAGGTCCTGGGCATGAACTGAGCAGAGAAGATCACCTGTAGTACTCTCACAATGAGCAATGCTGAAGGTAGGAAATGCAGAGGCCAGAGAAGAGGACCAGCATACTTTCCCATGCTGTCTACATTCTCTTTTCCAGAGTGTTCTGCTTGGGAGCTGGTGCTGGGCATATTCCTTTCAGCTGGTTTTTCCCGTGTGTGATTAATAAAACCAGAACATGAATCTGTGTTACATAATAAATAGTTTGTTTGGTTGATGAAAATGTACAAAACAAGCGGCTTTCAATAGGAGCTGACCAGGATAGGACTGCTTCACTGTGCAGATCTTTTAGGGTCAGGGCTAAGATCAGGGGAGGATGGAGCAGAGAGGTGGGGAGTGTTAGCCCAGGTCACAGAGAAGGATGCAGGTCTCAGAGTAGCTGGTGTGAGAGTGGTGGGACTGGAGGGTCAACTGTAGGGCTCAGCTAGCACAGCATATGTGTGACTGGGTCAGCTTGAAGAAGGATATGCTGGAGGTTAGGAGGGATCAGGGCCCTGCTTGCATAATGGTGAGGCATCACCTGCACTGGTCTAGGGAACAGGGGTGGTTAAGTGGAGGTTTGTCACTTAGAGTAGGACAAATGGGAGTTAAGTATGCAAGCTGATATGGCTAGAATGTGATAGGCTATCAAAACCAGAGTCTTCCAGGGTGGCTTCTCCTGCTGTGTAAAGAGAGGTTCAGATGTAATAGCTCACTTACTTCGAGCCTCACATACACTGACAGGGACCTGAAGTTTGGACGAGTACTTTTCTTGATAGCCATGCCATCTGATCATCTAACCATTGCTCTATTCCTGTATGTGTCCGTCTGTCTTTTAGCTCATTTACTTATTAGTCTATCTATCTTATTTATCCAGCAACCGATCTAGTCTCCCCTTATTTCCACCCACATATCTCATCCAGCCACTCACCCACCCACCCACCCATCCATCCATCCATCCATCCATCCATCCATCCATCCATCAATCCGTCCGGCCGTCCATCCCTTCAAACCTTCATCGGCCCATCCAGCCACACACACACTTTTTGCGTTATTTTATGTCTCATCTGCCCATTTGTCCATGCATCATACATTCACCCACTCACTTAGCCAGTTGTGTTCCATCTCTTATATGCCAGGCGCTATGTTGAGCACTTGGGACCCCAGGGCTAATTACAGCTTATCTTTTGCTTTAAGAAGTTCATAGTTACCGATAAGACAGGTCAGAAAAAATTCTGTTTTTGTTGGGTATGGTGGCACATGCCTGTAATCCTTGTTCAAGGCTTAGGCTATATGAATTGAAATCTTGTTTCCAAAAAAAAAAAAAAAAAAAAAAAAAAAAAAAAAGAGTCAATACAGGGTCCTGTAGAACTCTAGTATCCAGCAGCCACATAGTTATCCAACTCCAGTTATCCCAAAGGGGCCCTGGCTCCGGTCATACATGTGGTACATACACATATATACATGCAGGGAAACACATAAAGTAAAACCAAATAAAAATCTTAAAAAAAAGAACCCCCCCCCCAAAAAAAAAACCCAACAGTAGAGAACCTAACTCAAAACTCATCGGTTCCCTCTGATCTCATCTTCTTTTTTTGCTTTCTCTGTGGCTTTGGAGCCTGTCCTGGAACTCACTTTGTAGACCAGGCTGGCCTTGAACTCACAGAGATCCGCCTGCCTCTGCCTCTGCCTCTGGAGTGCTGGGATTATTAAAGGCATGCGCCACCACCACAGGCTCTGATCTCACTTTCTATCAGTGTACCTCCCTCTGCTCCTGCTGCATCAACTCTACACTGTTCCCATCTGCTTCAGATTAATGCCATTTGCGTGTTTTCTTTGATTGCCTTACCCCCAGAAGCCCTGTACCCTCATATCTACTGTCTGCTCCCTCAACTGTCTGGACCTCTGCTCAACTCTTCTTTTTTGTGAGGCCTTTGCTGTTCCTAGAACTGTACTTTTACATTTCTTTCTTGCCTGCTTTTCTCCTTTTAGCTAACATTTTATATTTGTTGCTTGTTCATTCCACTTCTTAGAGTAGCTTGTTAACTCCTCAGAGGCAGAGACTTTGCTCTATTTAAAAATAAACAGCGCCTGGCATGTAGTAGAAGCTTAGTGAATGGTTGTTGAAGTAAAAAATTGAGTCTTGAGAAGTGCTATATAGCTAGAGAGAATGAAGGAGGGAGGTGCTGAAGGATGAAATTGAAAACAGTGGTGGTGCCATCTTGAGGCCTTCTGAGGCACTGCAAGTGGAACCAGAGGAGGAGCCATTCTGAATCTTAAGGTCTGGTTGTAGACTGAGCCTTCAGGGCATGTGCAAGGCTAAGTAAGGTTCAGCAGGAGGTATGTCCTGGCCACCTCCATAGTGGCTATGAAGAACTTTGAGATCAAAGGACACATTAATACATTCTATGGAATGTATTAACATAGTTCCATGGGATGCAGTGATATTGACATTATTATTATATTAACATAGTTCCATGGAATACAGTGAAGTTAGGGTAGGAGACAGACTTTTCTGTAATCCTTTTTCCTTATCCCTTGAATTTGTGTACCTTGCTGTTGTGAAGAAACTAGTGGGCACACTGGGATGCTTCCACACCAGTGCACATGCGCTGACAGCACAGACACACGCATGTGCGTGAGCCCAACACTTGTATGCACTGTGGGTTATACAACGACTGGAGTCATGTACAGATAACAGATAAGGCTCTCACTTTCACAATGTGACTGGGTCACAGACACACAAAGCACCAACACAGACGGCATTTATATTTTACTGTGAGGTACACATACATGTCCTCTCAGCTCTAAGGCTTGCTGACTGGACCAGTCTGCTCTTGTTTGGTTTTCTGTGTCTAGCTGGGTGTTAGTAAGGGGTGAAGGGTGGGGTGGGAGGAACGACTGCTTTCCGATTGGGCTCTAACTCTCAGAGGCCAGAATTCTCTGTATGGTTTTCTGAGCCTTTCTGCCTTAGCACTTTTGGGCCTTGAGCTCCAGGATTTGCCCCCGCCTCCCTCCCCACTCACATCTCTGCTTCAGAGTGTATGGGGACACAGATTGATTGCGCAGTTTGGGGAACTTCAGCTAGGTGCAGTCCATGACCATTTCTTGGCCCTTAATGCTCCCTCCAGAAACCCGAGAGGACCGGACCAAGCGTCTCTTTCGTCACTACACTGTGGGTTCATATGACAGCCTCACTTCACACAGGTATTGGCAGGGGCATGAACACACAGGGATACCATCTGGGCCTAGTATATCCCATGAAAGGGGAAGACAAGGTATGGGAAGGTGGGAGGGTGGGAAGGGAGTGGGTGGTTAGCTGCCCCTGTTTTTGTTATTCTGAGTTGATTTGTGCTTATGGGACCCTGTAGGGTCAGCCTGTCTGCTAGGCTTCCAGCAAGCTCCCCTCACTCAACCTTGCTTTCCCCTGTCAGTGATTATGTCATTGATGACAAGGTGGCTATCCTGCAAAAACGGGACCATGAGGGTTTTGGCTTCGTTCTCCGGGGAGCCAAAGGTAAGGGGTGTGGATTTCATGAGGAGGGTGCTGCATTGCTGGTGATGTCTTCTGTGCTCTGCCTCTGCCCCTTCCTACCGCCTTTTAAGCCCCCCCTCGCCCCCAACTGTGGTTGTATGTCTTGGTTTGGAATGTCCCACGACGAGGCAGCAGGCCCCTCTCTTTCTGCCTCCCATTCTCTTGTGGGAAGTCTAACACAGTAGAGATCCATTTGGTGAGGGTAAGTGGAGGGCTTCGCAGAGGAATGTACACTGGCTTGGGTAACCCATCTGCTGCCCACTCCACTCCAGGTTTCTATGCCTTAGTATTCAGGTGCCTTGAGGTGGCTGGGGTTGCTTTGTTGAGCTTTCGAACAAGAGCTGTGCTTGTGAGTGAGTGCCTTGCATCTTGCTCTCCCTGCAGCAGAGACCCCCATTGAGGAGTTTACACCCACACCTGCCTTCCCTGCACTCCAATACCTTGAGTCTGTAGATGTGGAAGGTGTAGCCTGGAGGGCTGGGCTTCGAACTGGGGACTTCCTCATCGAGGTGAGGCTCATCCTTTCCTTGCCCAGCAGGACGGGAGGGGGTTACTAACTCCTGAGCTCCGAGGGAGGTGACACTTGGGTACATGCCCTGGCTGCTTATCTATCCCAGGTGAATGGAGTGAATGTCGTGAAGGTTGGACACAAGCAAGTAGTGGGTCTCATCCGTCAGGGTGGCAACCGCCTGGTCATGAAAGTGGTGTCTGTGACCAGGAAACCGGAAGAGGATGGTGCTCGGCGCAGAGGTGAGGGCCCAGTCTTCTGGGTTCTACCCTTGGTACTTGACCCTAGCCCTTTGACTTCAGGTCCATTCCTCTCCCCATCTCTGATCTGCTGACATCACATTCCTGCCTGAGATGAGATAAAATATCCTTATTGCTGCACACAGGTCCTTGGTGGTAGATGCCTGACCCCCAGGCCAGGCCTCTGATCCCTGATCTAAGATTCCCCCTCCTCAGATCCCTGTCCCCTTCTTCTATGAATCCCCCAGCCCTGGTGTGGCAGAGCCCTCCTTCCCGACTGCCAGCAGCTGCCTGGAGGCCGGGTTGTCATGGCAACTGTGAGGTTGACGCTGCTGCTGCTGCTGCTGCTTATTGTGCAGGGAAGGGGGAGGCGGCACCTGAGGGAAGAGGAAAAGCGTCTTCTCCCCGCGCCGACGCCAAAGACGCGGCACAGCCTGGGCCTAAGAGGCTTTGCCGCTGGCCCAGCCCAGGTGTACGGCTTGCCAGGCCACCCTGTGGTCTCATAAAGAGCAGTGGTACCTGGGCCTGGGTGCTTTAGGCAGCAGGAGGTAGTCTGGCAGGAAATCCACCCAGCCCCCCATGGGTGGTGCCCACTCACTGGGGCCTTGGAGCCCGAAGGGTGGATGCTCAGATCAGAGCCGGCCAGCCTCCTAAGCTCTGCTGGTACTCCTACTACCATTTGAGGCCTTGGTTCTGGGAGTCTTAAGGGCCCTAGGGGCCCAGCTGCCCTGGCCCCACTGCTCCCTGAGCGCCTCACGCCATGAAGAAGTTTGCATCTAGCCGCAGCCTGAACAAGATCTTGGCACAGTGTGACTCGTCTTCAAGGGAGTACGAGGAAATCCAGGCAGTGGAGCGCAAGTGGCACTTGCACCTGGCCACGCCGCGCCGCCTGCTGCTAGACAGGAGGGCCAAGGCCTCCCTCTTCTTTGCAGCCCCACCACCCCCAAAGAGGGCCCCCAGCACCACACTGACCCTGCGCTCCAAGTCCATGACAGCTGAGCTTGAGGAACTCGGTGAGCATTGAGGGTGGACAGGGGTGGATGGTCTACAAGGGGCTGGCCAGAGTGGGATGGGCACAGGCCATTCGGGAGGTCAGTGGTGCTGAACTGGAGCTAAGGCCAGGTAGAGACAGATGGTTGTGGAGACAGATCAGCAGTTACTTAGGGAATGGACTGGAGTGATGGGGAAGAAAATTGGGTACCTGTGTGGTGAAGAACGAGTTGCTGGAATTGGGCAGGGCCAATCAGGACAGATGGCTGGGGAACGACGTCTGGCCCTGTAGCATGCCCGCATGCATGCACATGCATGTGTGTGAGTGCTTTCCCTGGTTCTGTGCTTTTCCACTAAGACTTTGCTCTTGCATTTCAACCTAGCTGGCAAAGAGCAGTGGTAGGGCAACCTGCTACTGGGTCTGACTGGCACGAGCTGGGTCATGTTTGTGTTTCTTAGTTGATAACCTGTTCACTTACCTGCAGAGTGAGTCTGCTGACCCAGCGGGGGCATTGTGAGCACCTCTAACACAGTGAGGGGATGGGGCCTAGTGAACTGTGGGAGGCGGAACAAAGTATGTTAGGCTTTGATACAGTCCCAGGTTGACTACAAACAGCCTCAAACAGCCTCATTGTGGGCATGTCCTGACATATGACAGTTACCAGCTTTATCATGGCCATGTTCCTTATGCATAACACATCCTTATATGCATGTGCACATATATGGCAATTTCCAGCCTTGTTACAGGCAGGTCTCATGTACATGACTACAATGTTCTGACATGGATAAAAGTAACCAGACTCGTCATGGACGTGTCCCATGTACATGACCACCATATCTTGACAAGTATAGCAGTTACCAGCCTTGTCATGGGCATGTCTCATATGCGTGACTGTATCTTGACACATATGCCAGTTAACCTTGTCATGGACATGTCTCATATTCACAGCCATGTCCTGACATGTGATATTTACCAGCCTCGTCATAGGTATGTGCTATATGCATGATCACATCTTGACACATAGGACTGTTATCAGTCTCATCATAGGCATGTGCTGATGTATGTGATTTTTATTGTTATTGTGGGCATGTGCTAATATATTGACTGTTAAGAGCCTTATTGTGAGTGGTTATTGGTTAACAGTTTTATGGTAGGTATATTGTAACACATGTGACAGAGTGAAACATTCTTTGCTTCTGTGGTTTGAGTCTAGTTTCAGTCAATGAGGCTGGAAGTTGTGCTGTGGACCTGTGAAAGCCAGGGACAACCACAGGCACTGCAGTTAGCATACGGTGAACTGGAGGGGCTGGAGAGATGGCTCGGTACTTAAGAGTGCTTGTTGCGCCTGCAGAGGACCCAGGTTTGGTTTCCAGCACCTACATAGTGGCTCATGACCATCTGTAACTCTAGTTCTATAGAATCCAACTCATCTGACCTCTGGGTGGTGGCAGTGGGGGGCACCAGGCATGAATGTAGTATGCATATCTGTCCGTCTGTCTGTCTATCTATCTACTTATCTGAAAAATAGCTAAATCAATGCTGGGTGTTGGTGGCGAACACCTTTAATCTCAGCACTGGTGAGGCAAAGGCAGGTGAATTTGAGACCAGCCTGCTCTACAGAGCTAGTTCCAGACAGGCTCCAGAGAAACCCTGTCTCAAAAAACCAAAAAAAAAAAAAAAAATAAAATAACAGGAGATAAGAGTATGAGAGTAAAGTAAAAGGCTAAAGTTACTATAAAAGGCAAGAAAACTAACAGAATTAATGTAATTAACAGCGTAAGAGGAACATGTTCCAGAATCTTTAACTAAGTGAAACAAACAAAAAACTACAGATGAGAAAAGTCTGTGGCTTGGATACACAGTATCCAGGGTTCATTAAAAAACATAGCACTGAGTAAGAAGATTAGGCCCAGCCTACCCAGAATCAGTTTAGGAAGCAGATGATGAGATAGAACAAGGACCAGTCAGGGGACATAAGGACATGAGAACATTCAAGGAGACCTCAACATCTACTTGATAGGGATTCCAAAGGAAAATAATAGACAGGCTAAGGTGTTCCCACAAGTAAACAGAAATGTGAGACTTATATTTTTTTTTGCAACATGCTTCTTCAGAATAATCGGTTAAGAGTAAAACTTGAGAATACCATGGAAAAATCTTCCCAGAGCCAGCAGAGGGAGCCAATTGGCTTAGAAATGAGTGCTGGTTTGCTTTCAGACTTTGATGCTAGAAGGTAGAAAGAAGATGGTGAAAAGTGGGGTGCCCACTAATCACTCATACTAGCCAAACTTGTTGACAAGAGTGAACAGAGGCACTGGCAGATGTCTGACCTTAGGTTTTAATCTAACCTGGGTTAATCTTAGGGAGCAGACCCATGACATGGATCAATACACCAGTATGAATAGACAGCTGGGTCTGATTGGACATCAGTATGGCCCTGGAGTTTCTTGCTAGAAGCTGTCCCATAACCAGCTCAGAAAGGCCCTACCTACTTTGCACTCTTGGAACTGAGAGGCAGCCCTGTGAGAGCAGGAGAGCTGTGTCTGGCTACAGCCTTTGCCTGTAGAAATGGGAACAGAAGAGTTGAGTTTTCCCCTCTGCTCCAGAAGCCTTGGGAGAGGGTCACACCAGTTACATTATAGTCCTTGGTGGGCCAGAGGAGCGGGGTATCATATTTCTGAGTAGTGTCTGGAAGGGGTGTGGGGGTAGTTCAGTAGGAACCTCAGCCTTCATTTCTGGGCCCAGAATTGTAGTTATTGAAACTGGAACCAGGTTCACAATGGGACTGTGTTTAGAGAAAGACCCAACAGTCAGGGACCCAGTAAGCTTCTCTAACTCAAAGACACCTCTCTTAAGAGGTGATCTGGTCCTTCTGGGAGTGCCTGATTTGAAGAAGCCAGAGCAACATAGAGTTCTCCAAGTATCCAACAGAACATTCCACAATCCAATGGTTTTGTTTTTTGTTTGTTTGTTTGTTTGTTTGAGACAGGATCATTCTGTAGCCCAGGCTGCTGTTGAATTGTTTATGCCTCCTGAGTTCTGGGATTGCAGGCATATACTCCCGTGCCTGGATTTGTTTGTGTTTTTAAAAGTTAGAAATAAGACATGTTGAGTCAGCACTGTTATAAACATGCCTATCCTGCCACTCACTGATAGAACCCTCTAGGAGCCATGTTTGTCAAAAAGATGACCTGAATTCCTGGAAAGAAAAAAAAAGTGTGAGGTGAGGGGGATGTGGGCTCAGAGGTAGAGGCCTGTGCAGGTGTAGAGGGTGAGGCAAGGCGATGCAGGAAGAAGAGGATGAGTTCCGGAGAACTAATGGAGTGAGCAGAGGCTGATCCAAGATTAAATAAAGTGAAATTGTTGGTGGCTTTCAGAAATCAGTGGGAGAACTCTGTAGTATAGTACATACCTATCACTCAGGAGGTTGAGGCAGGAGGGTTGCTGTGAGTTCCAGGCCTGTGTGGGCTACAGAGTGAGTTCAAGGTCAACCTGCTTATGTAGCAGGATCCTGTCTCCAAAAGAGAAGGGTTGTTCATAAGAGTCAGGTGGAGAAAAAGCATTCTCACTCTCATTCTAGTCTGGGGCTCATTTAGCGTGTATATGTATGTATGTCACACACACACACACACACACACACATACACACACATATATATATCAGCTTGAATCAGGGACATCAGTTAATGGGGACCCATGTCAGGGCCCTAACGTGGTCATACTGTTCCTGTTCATTAATTTAGGTAAAATTAAGACGTTCCTTAATTTCTGGGACTTTGTTTTGTGATAAGGTCAGGGTGGGTCCCTGCTACTATCTTAGTCTAGAAAAGATGTCTTTACCAAACATGTATTGTCTGCTTTGCTGCTTATATCTGCTTGCTGCTAGGAACCTGCTTTGGAATATGGAGATGTGTATCAGTGGTGGAGCATTTGCCCAGCATGTTCAAGGCCCTGGGTTCCATCTACAGTACTGCAAAAACAAAACCCAGCCGACATCTCAGTGAAGAATGTTCATAGATGACCACTTTAGTTAATAGCAGACTCTGAACTTTGTTTTTTATAGTTACATATCTTCATTCTTAACAGATATTTGGCTGCTCCAAGTACAGTTTAATTGTGCACATGTTTGTGTGTGCATGTGTGTGAATGTGCATGTACACACAGCATGTGTTCCTGCTTTTGCTTGTTCTCTTCTAGAGTTTTAGAGCATTGGTAGGCTTGTGCTCCTGGTCTAAGGAGGTATAGATGGGGACAGACCTATGAAGGCCTGATAGTTGGGAGGAAGGGGTGGGGAGAACAGGGTGGGGAAACCATCGGACAAATGGCCCAGGTGCTGTGGAATAAAAGCTTCCGCTTACTCCCTTTGTTCTGTTTCTCAATTCCAAGCTTCCATTCGGAGAAGAAAAGGGGGTAAGTCTTCTATGTTTTTAGGCCTGGCTTGCCTGTCCCTACCAAGGGGGCACTGGTGTGTGATGAGGTCCAGTTCAAGTTAGAGTGGTCTGGAATCTGGCATACGCTCTTGTTCCTGCCTGGGGATTTGGTAGGGACAGGTGAAGGGCCTTGGAAGGATGGATGGGGAGTTCCCAGGGGTGTCACTGGGATTAATAGGGAATACAACCGTAGTCCTTGTGGGTTCAGGTGAGCTCAGGGATGTGACCTATAGAGATAGTCTTGTGGGGAGATGGTGGGAAAATTCATGGTGGGGGCTCCTGCAAATGTCATGGCCTGGAGTTGGGGAGGGGCATGGTCTGAGGGTCAGACCATGGAGTTCAGGGCAGCCAGATACCTAGGCTGTGTTGGAATGGTGGTATTAGGGTGTTAGGCTCTGCTCTGTGCAGTATCTTTTGTCCTTTTCTTTGCCCAAGCCAACTTAATGCTGATGAGTTGTAGGATTGAGCCCAGAGGAGAGCTGCTTCAGAATAGGGATTGGAATCTGTCAGCATTGGGAAGGGAGCTGGACTCCTCTGCTCAGACCTCCTCTCCTGCCCCAGGCTGTTTACTTCAGTATCCCCTCTTCTGGTTCCATCCTTGTGTCCTTTGAGGCTCTTTCTCATAAGATTTGTGTGTCCATCATGGCTGCAGAGGACACAGTGTCCAAATGGGGCCAGAGACTCTAGGGCTGAGGCTGAGGTCCAGCATCTGGGGAAGTCTTCCCCAGCTTCTGCTGCTTCCTTTGCCTCTTGAGATATGCTCATAGCCCAGGGTATGTGGATTTGTGTATCCAGCATCCCTTCCCCTCTTAAGTTCTGATGCACTGGGCTTTGCCTGGGCAGGGGGATTCTCTAGTGGTTATCATATGATACTAGAGCCCCCCACCCCACCCAGTCTCCTCTGACTGAGATTGTAGGGCTCCCAGGATGCTATGCTGTGGTCATGCACTTCTTCCAGCTGTGGGGGAAATGGCTGGTTTGTCACCTCCATGGGTGCTTTTTTTCATCCTTGCTTGGGTTTCTAGTGTACTTTGCCCTGAACCCAGATGGCTGGCCCCTTGGAATGCTGGTGGAGATGACTACACTTGGTTCCTAGTGGATTTTATTTAATTTTTTAAAATATGTAAAATAATCTAGGATTATGTTTTCTAATTTTTGGTATGGATTTATGTTGGGAAAAAGTGGTCAACTTTTCATGTGTAGAATTCTTGGAAACAATTCTTGCTTGGCCTTACCACTAATCTAATGGAACGTAACTGCTTAGAACTCTTGGAACAGGTTCTGTATTATTATTATTATTATTATTATTATTATTATTATTATTATTATGAGACATTCTCCAAGTTCATGGCTCAGGTGACAGTGTGACTTGGTATTTTGAGAATAGAAGGGTGTCTAGGACAAGTATCCCCTGAAGGTGGGCACAACCTTCAAGAGTTGAATATGGTGTAGAGACAGTTGGAGCCTGAGGCTGTTGAGTGAGGACAGGCACATAAAAGCACTCCCCTAACCTCTGGTATACACCTGAACAGTGACCCTGAGTGGGCTCTGCCAGAGGTACTTAACCATATCTCAGACAGCCTTCAGCTTCATTAAAGGTTTCTGAAAATCCTTTCCCCTGCCGAAGTGGTTTCCCCCTGTAGTTGTCTGATCCCAGCTTTGTAATCTTGCTTTAGCCTTCCAAAGAATGGGATGACAGGGTTGTTGTTTTTTTTTTTTCTCTCTACTTTTCCTGCTGTGAGGATAAAGTACAGTGCTTGAGGAAGGAAGGATTTATTTGGCTCTCAGTTTGAAGGCCTCTCCATCCCTAGTTGGGAAGAACAGAATGATGAATATTCTTGCTAAGCTGGTTTTCTTTTTTTTTTTTTTTTCCCCTTTTTAAGCAGTTTTGGACCCAAGCTCAGGAAATAGTACTGCCCACTTTTAGGGTGGGCCTTTTCACATCAATGGACAGGGTCAAGATAATCCCTCACAAGTGTGTCTGGAGGCTTGTGTCCTGGGTGATTCTGAATTCTCTGTCAAGTTGACCACACTAACCATCATACATGGTGTGCCACCACACCAGATTCTCTACATTTTTTTTTGATAAAATAATACTTTTCTTTCTTTTGAGGGGAGTGTGGTGTATGTAAGTATGTGCTTGTACATGCATATATCTGTTCGTGTGTGTGTAGGTCAGAGATCTATCTGCTGGGTGTCTCTTCCTCAGTCATTCTTTGTCTTACTCTTTGGGACAGGTTCTCTCACTGAACCCAGAGCTTACCACTGGGACTAGAGTAGGTAGCCAGAGAGTCCGGAGGACCTGTGTGTTTCTACTTCCTGGTGCTAAGGTTACAGGCAGGTACTGCCGGGCTCAGTGTTTGATGTGGGCACTGGGGATCTGAACTCAGGCCTCCGTGCTTGCACAGCAAGCATTTTTACTGACTGAGCCATATCCCCAGCCCCCAAAGTCCCATTTTTAAAACAGTAACTTTAATAAAAAAAATGATTCCACAAAGCTTTTCATTTTATAACAGATGTGACAGGAATGTGCCTGAGGCCGCCTGGTGCTCTCATCCAAACCCTTCTTAGGCATCAGCCTTAAACGGATCTGAAGTCTGAGGAGTTTGGGTGGGTAGGCTCTCAGTGAGGAAAGTCCTTTCCACACCACACCCATTTCTCCACTTTCCTCACCTCCCATCCCACTGATGCCATCTTTCTGTATGGGCAAGGATGAAGGAACTATGGCTCTTGTTTTGTAGTGAACCACTCTTGATACCCAGCCCCAGTTTTGTTCTTAGGAGATATTTCCCATCTGTCCTTTCATTCCTTTGTTATCAAGCTTATGAATATCTATCTGTCCCTGGGACAGTGCTCCCACTAGAAATAGCTTCCCGTAGAGAGTGGTAGAGGATAGGCCGTGTTCCAAGAAAAGGCACTGGGCAAAAGGGAGAGGCGAGAGACAGGGAAATGGATCTAACTGGTCTGTCTCTGAGTCTGATCTCCCTATGGTCAGTCATTGTGTCATTCCAAGTGGCCACAGAGATACCCAGGGTCTCCTTAAGGGCAGACTTTGGCTGGTTCGGGAACTGGGTCCTGAGGTCTGAGGCTGTTGATGGGATGCATGGTCTAGGGCCCCAGGCAGTGAGAGACTAGGGGTGGAGGGGTTCATTGGATCATCAGTGCCATGGGGCTGGCACCTGTGAGTGTGGCAGTGAGGCAAGGTGGCTCTGGGGCTGAGGTTGCATCTCTTTGGTTGTGTGCAGAAAAGTTGGATGAGATCCTGGCAGTTGCTGCGGAGCCGACACTGAGGCCAGACATTGCAGATGCTGACTCCAGGGCAGCCACTGTCAAGCAGCGGCCCACCAGCCGGAGGATTACCCCTGCCGAGATCACCGTAAGCCAGCCTTGGGCCAGGGCTCTGGGATGGTCAGGTCCAGGGCCTGGGGATCAGAGGGTCATGCGCCTCTCTTTTGAGGTAAGAGTTTTTTTATTTGGAGCCCTTCTCTAGAGGAGGTGGAGCTCTCCATAGCCTCTCTGGGAGATGTCCAGGACCATCTCAGCCCATAGAATATTTGTAGTTCAACTTGCTTCTATGGTTGCAGCTTTTAGTGCCTCTGACCTCGGTCAGATTCTGTGTCACCCAGGGACTACAAGGGTCCATGACTTTGCTGAGCTTATGGCACAGCATATGCCTATTTAGAAGGCATCCATAGCCCATCTGGCACTGTGGATTCTTTCTCTCTCTCTATTCAGACTATGAAGGCCCCTACTGAGCCTGGGCACTAGTGCCTTCGGGGTGTCTGGTGTGTGGGTCTCTGGTCTAGCTTAGGATGGGTGGGCTGGATGGAGAACTGGGTTCCAGTGCCCAGGAACTTCCATGTTCCTCCCTGACCCCCCCACAGTCATTGTTTGAGCGCCAGGGCCTCCCAGGCCCAGAGAAGCTGCCGGGCTCTCTGCGGAAGGGGATTCCACGGACCAAATCTGTAGGTATGGCTGGGCTGAGGGACCGCTTGGGGTTGGGATGGCTGGGCTGGGGTGGGCGGCTTCAGGGTTGGAGGACCCCATCTCTCTCTGCAAGGCTCAAGGATGCCATTTGTTTATGGATCTGAGTTTGTTCTACTTAGAGATGTGCTGTGGGAAGACACCCTTGAGGTTCTTTGTCCCAGCCTGCCTCTCTCCATCCATGGGCACCCTTGGTCCTTCCTATCTATCTCTTCTGCCTTATACAGATAACAACTGCCACCAGGACAGCTATTTCCTGTCCTGTCAGCCAGAGTGCAGGTCTAGTTTTTCATCCTAAAATTAGTCTCTCCTTGAACCTGCTCCATCTCTCCAGGTAGTATCCTCTCTCCCCATCCCTTCACGGTCAGACCCGAAAGGTCACTCATAATTGCTGTCGTATCCCCATATGCTCATAAGTTGGAAGCAGCTGGGTCTCTCCACAGCCAAATTGAAGCTGTTCCCACTTGGGTCACCAGCAGCCTCAGGGCATTTCCCCTGGCAGACACGATTAGCCTTCCTCTTACTGACCTCAGTTGGCATTTGTTTCTTTGCATCCTCCTCTGCAAAACTCTTTGTATTGTGGGAGTGAATTTCTTGCTGCCCCCTCTTTTCTTGCCTGCTTTTGTTCAGCATATCCAAGCAGCAGGCCAGCTCAAGGCTGTCCATCATAAGTGTGGAACTTCATCATTCCCTGGCCACAATCACACTCCACACTTGGTTGCCTCTTCTAATCCCAGGCCAGGATCTGTAACAAACCCTGCTTATTATGTTTCTCAGGCATCTATGCTCCTTGACACATTGACTCATCATCTACCTGTTCATATACATCCTACCACATTCACTGTCTATTCCATATCAGAATAAACTCCTGCTCAGCACAAGGACAGGCCAGACATGAGGTGTTTATATGCACACTTTCACTTAATACCTATAGCAACCATATTGGGGGGTATTTTACTTAAGGAGAGTTAAAATGAGTTGCCCAAAGTCACATAGCTGCCATGCCTGTACTTCCTGTCCATTCTTAAGCCAAACAGCTATCCAGTTGTGCCCATTACCCATTCTGGAATTTCTGCTTACTCTAAGCTAGCCCTAGGCTAGATCTGCGTCTTAGTTGGAAGGTGACATGTCTATAGTTAGGTCAGTTGAATAGTTATAATGTGGATGTCAAAGTACACATAGAAATGGAGACTGAGTGGGGAGGTTCAGACACACATGAACATCAGCATGTACACTTAGAATAACAGGGCAGAAGTTTCCTGGGGATGGTGGGGCAAATGTCTGATGGCGGCCAGTGTGTAAAAAGCATGGGTGTATTTGTGGGAGAGTCCTTCATGGGCTGAGAGTGGGGTAGGGAAAGGTAGCTGGTGAGAGACTGCAGTTACTACTTTCTGCTCTCCCAAGCATTGTGGCCATCTTCTATGGTTTATTTCCTGCCTCACTTGCCTTATAACTGTGTTCAGGACAGGCTTGTCTTGTCCTGGGTCCACAGCCTTGTCTTCCCCATGTCCTCTTGCAGTGAATCTCTTTTCTAGTCCTGTCTCTCTGGCAAAGGAAGCTTTCTGTAGTATATTTATCACCTGATATCCCTCCATCTGGTCCTGTGTGAGTTCCTGTGGTCTCAGGGTCCTCAGAGCAGCAATAGCCCTGCCCTGCTTCATCTGGGATATCTGTTGCTGACTCTGTGGCATGAGTCATGCTACGCTTATTGCTCCTTGCCTGCTTTCACTCTTCTGGATGGTCTTTCCCAGAGCTGACTACTGTAGACTCAGATCTATGGACTTGTCATGTAAGCCTCAAGCTCCTTGATAAGCCGACCAACTCCTCCTAGCTGGATATAGTTGGCCAGTGAGGTAGCAGGTGTTCAACTTTAGTTCCCCATGGCTGGCACATTGCCAATTGCCAGCATGGCCATTGGCTAAATTCTTAGGCTCCGTGGACTCCCACTTCAGATCTGGCTACTTGCTCCTGGGCATATAACTTTTGGAACCCCAGGACCATAGTCTACAAACATGAATACTACCAGTAAGGACTGTTCAGGTTCTTCCTTGAACATTGTCGAAGTAGTTGCAACAGCCCTTTGACCCAGGCTCTGTGTTTTTTGAGCACACAACCAGTACCTAGGAAATAGTTCTGCTGTGGACTGACAGACAGAGAGGGTCTTTCTTTATTCTGTTGTCAGAACAGACCCCTATTCTGTTCGAGGCAGGTGATTTTACCCTCAGGTGCAGCCTACCATGACATTAGTATTAAATTCCACCCCCTCTTTCATTGTCACACATCATTCCTGCCTTCTGTAACCTTAAGATCTATGTAAGTTCTTCCTACATAGCTCCACCGAGCACACAGGCTTGTGAATATTCCTGTGCTGTGTGGGAATGACATCAAAAGCCCAAGGCCAGCTAGGCAGACCTTGAAATAACCAGTGATGACCTCAGTTGTCTTTCTTGGTGTTGGTTACCTGTAACCTTGAACTGTAAACCATTAATAGCCCCATGACAGGGGCAAGTAAGGTCCTGTGATGAAACAGGTTCCTAAAAGTGACTTGTGTGAAGCTGAAATTCAATCCTAAATTTGCACAAACCTACCTTTGCTGGTAGCCCTGAGACATAGTGTGTCACTACTTTTAAGGTCGGCTGCTCAGTATTTACAAGTCTCACTGTATGGAACTCTGCACAGGTGTCTACATTATAGCTGAAATAATAAGGAGGTTCTGTAAGGGTCTAGCCTAATGACATCTCTAGATAGGAGGATGAGGGTAGCCTATGAGAGAACCGGCCCAAGTGGGCCTTATACCCTGGCTTGGGGGTAACATAAGACAGTGGGGTAATACTGACACATGCCTTGGGTGCTTGACCTTCAATTCTAGTTTAGTTTATCCATCCATTCTTCCTTCCATCTACCTATCCAGCCTCTGTAAACCTTAGCCTCTGACTAGGGTACCAACTTTTTAGTGCCCTGCAGCCAGTCCTTGAGAGTCTCTCCAAGGAACGGATGGAGCTCATTTTCCAGCCTCCTACCCTGGTTATCGGTACCACTTCTTCCAGATGCAAGGGTCCATTACCAATATCCTGCATTCCCTCATTTATGTTATACTTTGGGTGTTGGGGGGGTAGGGGTTGTCTTTCTGACCACATTTCTTTCCATCTCTAGTTGCCATCAGGTCCTCTGTTGGCTCCTGCTTGTTGAGCACTGAATTTTTTTGAGTTGGTTTGCTCATCCTTGTGTGGGAAGCCCCTAACTAACCCCCCTGGTTCCTCTCAACAATTTTGTGGGGGTGGGGGGTGGGGCTGCCTATACCCTCCTGGTGTCTTCTCATGGCCTGCTCCATGCCCACAGGGGTTAGGGAGATAGATCTTGACCTCAGTCCAGGCAGTCAGAGTTTGGGTCCTGTCCCACAGCTCCTCTGTAGGAGCAGCCCTCCACACTGTGGTTGGGGCTTCTGGACCCTCCAACAGAGCTCTCCCTTCCGGTACAGATTTGGCACAGAGCATGGATGGCTTACTCAGGGCTCTTGCTCTCTTCTTTGGCTTTCCATGGGCCCTGATCCCATCTTCCTTGGTGGGGCTGTGTCCTCTCAGGGATGCAGGCAGGATAGGACTGGCCAGTGGTACTGGGTCCAGAGAGGCCTTTCAACGGCCGACATCCTTGCCAGACTTACCTGGCCCCTCCGTCCCCAGGGGAGGACGAGAAGCTGGCATCCCTACTGGAAGGGCGCTTCCCACGCAGCACATCAATGCAGGACACAGCGCGTGAAGGTCGTGGCATTCCGCCCCCGCCGCAGACTGCCCCACCACCCCCACCGGCGCCCTACTACTTCGACTCTGGGCCACCTCCCACATTTTCACCGCCGCCACCGCCTGGCCGGGCCTATGACACTGTGCGCTCCAGCTTCAAGCCAGGCCTGGAGGCTCGCCTGGGTGCCGGGGCCACTGGTCTGTATGATTCTGGCGCGCCTTTGGGCCCGCTGCCCTACCCTGAGCGTCAGAAGCGTGCCCGCTCCATGATCATCTTGCAGGATTCAGCACCAGAAATGGGCGACATACCCCGGCCTGTGCCTGCAGCTACACCACCTGAGCGCCCCAAGCGCCGGCCTCGGCCTTCTGGCCCTGATAGCCCCTATGCCAACCTGGGCGCCTTCAGTGCCAGCCTCTTTGCTCCGTCGAAACCACAGCGCCGCAAGAGCCCGCTGGTGAAGCAGCTTCAGGTGGAGGACGCTCAGGAGCGTGCGGCCCTGGCCGTGGGTAGCCCGGGCCCAGTTGGTGGAAGCTTTGCACGAGATCCCTCCCCAACGCACCGGGGGCCCCGGCCGAGTGGCCTTGACTACGGCTCTGGAGAAGGCATGGGGCTCACATTTGGCGGCCCTGGCCCTGGCCCCGGCAAGGAGCGGCGCCTGGAGGAGAGACGCCGTTCCACTGTGTTCCTGTCTGTGGGTGCCATCGAGGGCAGCCCTCCCAGCCCAGATCTGCCATCCCTTCAACCCTCCCGCTCCATTGATGAGCGCCTCCTGGGGACAGGCGCAACCCCTGGCCGCGATTTGCTGCTCCCCTCCCCCGTCTCTGCCCTGAAGCCATTGGTCAGTGGCCCCAGCCTTGGGCCCTCAGGCTCCACCTTCATCCACCCTCTTACTGGCAAACCCTTGGATCCTAGCTCACCCTTAGCCCTTGCTCTGGCTGCCCGAGAGCGGGCTCTGGCCTCGCAAGCACCTTCCCGGTCCCCCACACCTGTGCACAGCCCTGATGCTGACCGCCCTGGACCCCTCTTTGTGGATGTGCAAACCCGAGACTCTGAGCGAGGGCCGTTGGCTTCACCAGCCTTCTCTCCTCGGAGCCCAGCCTGGATTCCAGTGCCTGCTCGCAGAGAGGCCGAGAAGCCCCCTAGGGAAGAGAGGAAGTCACCAGAGGATAAGAAATCCATGATCCTCAGCGTTTTGGACACATCCTTGCAGCGGCCAGCTGGTCTCATTGTTGTGCATGCCACCAGCAATGGACAGGAGCCCAACAGGCTAGGGGCTGAAGAGGAGCGCCCCGGTACTCCGGAGCTGGCCCCAGCCCCCATGCAGGCAACGGCTGTGGCAGAGCCTATGCCAAGTCCCCGGGCCCAGCCCCCTGGCAGCATTCCAGCAGATTCTGGGCCAGGCCAAGGTAGCTCAGAGGAGGAACCAGAGCTGGTATTTGCTGTGAACCTGCCTCCTGCTCAACTGTCCTCCAGCGATGAAGAAACTAGGGAGGAGCTGGCCCGCATTGGGCTAGTGCCACCCCCTGAAGAGTTTGCCAATGGGATCCTGCTGGCCACCCCACCCCCTGGACCGGGTCCCTTGCCCACCACGGTACCCAGCCCGGCCTCAGGGAAGCCCAGCAGTGAGCTGCCCCCTGCCCCTGAGTCTGCAGCTGACTCTGGAGTAGAGGAGGCTGACACTCGAAGCTCCAGTGACCCCCATCTGGAGACCACAAGCACCATTTCCACAGTGTCCAGCATGTCCACCCTGAGCTCGGAGAGTGGGGAACTCACTGACACCCACACCTCCTTTGCCGATGGACACACTTTTCTACTCGAGAAGCCACCAGTGCCTCCCAAGCCCAAGCTCAAGTCCCCGCTGGGGAAGGGGCCGGTGACCTTCAGGGACCCGTTGCTGAAGCAATCCTCGGACAGTGAGCTCATGGCCCAGCAGCACCATGCTGCCTCTACTGGGTTGGCTTCTGCTGCTGGGCCTGCCCGCCCTCGCTACCTCTTCCAGAGAAGGTCCAAGCTGTGGGGGGACCCCGTGGAGAGTCGGGGGCTCCCTGGGCCTGAAGATGACAAGCCAACTGTGATCAGTGAGCTCAGCTCCCGTCTGCAGCAGCTGAACAAAGATACACGCTCCTTGGGGGAGGAACCGGTTGGTGGCCTGGGCAGCCTGCTGGACCCTGCTAAGAAGTCTTCGCCCATTGCAGCAGCTCGGTGAGCAGGGTGATGTGGGGAGGGGCCTGTCCCCCTGTCTTTGTTCTTCTGTTCATCTGTAGGCTTCCCTCTCTCTATCTCATTCAGTCCCATCTCTCATCTGTCTGTGACACGGGTTCTCTTATCCACCCTCTATCTTTGTCTGGTCTTGCTTTGCTGTCTGAGGTAAAAGGCGTCTTAGTGCAGCTGCTCTCTGTGCCCATTTTGGCACAGGCAGTGGGACTGGGTGCCTATGAGACTTAGGTATGTCAGGAGGCCTCCCAGGACCCGTTGGAGGCCCTGCTGCAGGTTTGCAGGTTTACAATCTGGCTTCTAACCCAAGATGCCTCTGCTAGTAAGGATCTTTTCATGTTGTACTCTGGAGCTGCTGTTCTTTCTCAGCAGCTATTTGGCTCTGTGTCTACTGCCCCATGGCTCCATTTTGTTTCTCTTTCTGATAGTATGGCTGCCCCATATGGCTGGTGTCACCTCTCCTGGAGCAGCCTTCTGTCTTGCTTCCTTTTCGGCCCAGAGTACATTGATTGGTTCCTTTTCTTTAAGGACTTCATACAAATTTATGTTGTGCCCTAGAAACATTTGTCTTGTGGCACCTCCCAGGACCCTTAAATATAGACTCCTGGACGTGATTTATAACACTCCATCACGAAGAGTTGCAAATCACACCATCTTCTCTCTAGCCTTTTTTCCTTTCTTGTCATGTCTGCCTCTCCCCCCCAGTGATGGTGAGGGTAGGGGGAGGTTGCTGATGTGGGGTCTGGGTGCTGCTAAGGTTGTTGCTATAATTTTGTAGGCAGAAGCTGCCTGAGCCCTGGGTTGACCCCCTTCAAGTCCTTTCTGGGGAATCTTCCTGGGGCTCCCTTGTGGACTGCATGGGTTCTTGTGCCAGCTGCCAGCCTCTTGTATATGTTTCTCAAGCTGCTTCTGCCTGTGCTCCAAGGTTCCCATATGCTGAGTTTGGGTGTGAGGCCACTTCCTGATTCCTCACTCTTTTTTTCTTAGATGCCCTTCACTGGCAGCTGTGGAAGACAGGGGTTCACAGAGTGGTGATGAGGGCACAGCTTAAGAACTGCAGGTCTTATTCAAGGGGCCTGCTTTTACATTCTTTCAGTTTAGGATCCACAAGATTAATGGGAGCTTGAGACATGTTCACATTGCCTCTGCTGAGAGGTTCAGGGACATTCATGGCATTCTAGTGGCTCATTCTTAGGCCTTCTCCCTTTTTGGCCTCTTCTAATTCTTAGCCCAATTTGAAAGCCCTTCTCAGTAGTTCAGTGGTGAAGGCACCCTTGGAGTGAGCATGGTGGATATGGACCAGTCAGGATGAGTGGCTGGGGTCCCAGGTTTATCTTCAGAACTGGACCCTCAAAGATAGGAGGTACCCTGATACAACCTCAACTGGACCCTTTTCTTCCTTCTTTGTCTTTCTGCCCACCACCAGCCCTTCCTTCTGCTTCTTTCTGTCTCTTTTCTTGATTACGGTTATATATAGCATACTGTTTAGCCTGTTGCAGGGCCTCAGTAAACATGTATTAAGCCAATAAAAGAAGGGAGTTTTAATGCAAGTGCTGTATTGTCACTTGAAATCCAAAAGGGTGCCCTAAGGCAGATTCATGGGATGACAGATGGGCAAAGATCTCTTAGGTTTCTACACCGTAATTTCACATAGCAGAGGTAGACTTGTGCTGTATAGCGGTTACTCATGACATTTTTTTAGATCTATAAGTAATAAATTATACTGAGTGTTCAGTCTGCTTGGTGCCACTGAACTGCTTTTACCCTGTGTTTCATTCTGTTCCCACTCACTTTTTCCTATCTTTTGGGCCCCTTATTTTTGGGTTTGTTTTTGGAGACAGGGTCTTGCTATGCAGTCTGAGCTGGCTTCAGTTATCCTACTTGTGTCTCCTCAGTATGAGCTATCACTTCACCATACCTGGGTGAAACAACGGCCACCCGGAGTGTGTCCTCCTGCCTACCACAGTGCTTTCCTTTCTGGCTGCGGGCATGGCGCACCTGTGGCTTTGTGAACATCTAGCTTATTTCAGACCTGGTCTTTTGTCTGGTCTTTGTGGACACTCTGGCTTTGATGTCTATTGGGGCTCTACCTCAGCACTGGCCTTGTAAGCCAGTGGGGGCTGGAATCTAGTGTTTATGTCTGTCTTTGGGATAAAATCACTAATGGGCCTTTCTCTTAGAGAAGTGTCTAAAGTATGTGACATTTTGATGTCTAGATTGACTGTGTCCTTCTCAGGATCTGACCCAGAAGAGGTTGCACCCTTGAGCCGCATCTTTGGTCTGTGTGTGGTTCCCGAGTTTTACCTACCAGGCTCATCTGTCTCTTCTTTTCATGGATTCCATCCAGAAGGAAATGGCCCTTTGTCTACTTTCTTTACAGATGACTTAGTCCAGGCAGTGATGTAGTCTAGCTATGGGTGCTCAACATCCTGAGCTTTTTGAAGATGAGTTAAATGTCCCTGTGTATCTTGGGACAAAAGCTCAGTAACCTGTAGATCAGCGCATTTACTCTGGGGCCGTTGTTGGCATCTGGGTTGAAGCTAGAAGGTGTGTTGTTCTTGGTGCTACTGCTGAAGTACAGGTCTATGTTCCCACCTGTACTTCACTTCAGGTTGCAGGTCTGGCCCCCACCTGACAGTTCCTTATGTCTGAGAGGGCCTGACTTGGATTGCATGTTATTTGTTCATCGCTGAAAACCCAACTTTGGACTTCACAACTTACTGTGGAGCTACCCCTGTCTGTCTTGAGACCCACACCTGTCTCCAAATTCCACTTCTCTTCTGAGTCTCGTGTTTGGACTTGAATTTTATGTGTGGCTTGAAACCTACAGCAATGCCATTTTGCCTTGGCTTTCTGTGGGAGGCATTGGTGCTGGGGAATGAACACAGGGCCTTGTGCATATGAGGCACGTGGTCAACCACTGAGCTACATCACCTGCTTTGTTTTTATTGAGATATGGGACCTTTCTTTTTTTTTAATGTTTATGTGTGTGTGTACATGTGTACACATTTTATGGTGTACATGTGAAAGTCAGAGGACAGCTTTAGGGGAATCTATATTTTCTTTGCACTTTGTGGGTACTGAACTTAGGTCATCAGGCTTGGCTGCAAGTGCCTTCACCTACTGAGCCATCTCACCAATCTGAAATAGGCTTTCTATATAGTTTAGGCTGGTGTTGAACTCGTTGTGTAGCTCAACTTGGCTTTAAGCCTAAGATCCTCCTACTTTTGAACTCCCAAGTGCTGGAATCACAGGTGTGTGCTGTCATGACAGCTGCCTCAATTTTCACATCTGTTTAAAAAAAAAAGTCATGGTGAAATAGCTTTTGAGTAATTTGCTGTACTTCTGAGTGCTTTCTTTCCCCCCACATGCTTGTGTGTGGGTGGTCAGAGTATGCCCTGTTCTTTAGACCTGTTGAGGTCACTAATGAGATCTCAAAGAAGACCCATTTTCTAATTAGGTTGCTCTACAAAGCCCTGCCCTGTCTGTTTGATATAGGTCCTGCCTTTGTGTTAAAGATATGGACAAAGCCTGTGTGCTGGGGCAACCATACATGAAGGTTTTTGAGTTCAGTTGGAAACTGGGGACAGGATGCATTGTGTCCTTCAGATCAAATGCATGAGGTCACATGCAGATGCATCCTCAAAAGTCCCAAACTCGGCTAGGGAACAGAAAGAGATCATAAGACATAAGGTCCCTGGGTATATCAATGTTGGACTGGCCAGGTGTTGAGAAGTGAGGCCAAGGCATCAGAGAAGACTCCCGGAGAATCTTTGGAGTCCTGCTTGGTCTGTGTTGCTATTAAGAGTTGTCCTGTAATGAGGCCTCCAAAGTCCATGGGCCTAGACCTGACCCACATGAGTGCAAAGGCAGGAGGCCTGAGGTACAGGCCAGGACTGGGTATGAACCATTTCTTGCCTGTTGGTACCAGTAAACTGACAGAGGTAAGGCAGTCTCAGGAGAAGGATGCTGTGGTGTTTTTGTAGGGTGACATCTTTTTGTCAGTGTGTATAATATTCCCGAGTGTGTGCCAGGTTCCAGGGACCAGGGAAAGCTTTGAAGGAGGAAGTGAAGGGCTGGGATGTAGCTTGGTGGTAGAGGGCGTGTCTCAGATGCATGAGGCCTGTGTTCTATCCCTAGCAGAGAGAAAGGGAGAGGGGGAGGAGGAAGAGGAAGGTGAAAGGAAAGGAGGGTGGAAGGTAAAGGACCTGAAACTATGAGGGGCCTGGACTCCAGTGATGAGGCAGACCTGGGTTAATGTGAGGAATTGGTGACATTCGCCCAAGATAAAAAGGTAGAGGAGCTGTTCACTGAGGCAGGGTTGGGCATCCTGTGTGTTAAGAGGTGTTTGGAGATCCCAGTGGAAACTTGGAGCTCAGAAGAAAACGACGGGTTCTCACATATGGCATTCCTTGGGTTTATTAGTCATAGCATAGAATGGGGGTAGATGATATGGCCTCAGAAAGTACAGATTATGAAAGAGTGTGAGCTAGGAAATCCAGGAAGGGAGATGCCAAGGAAAGGGTTCCTCCAAGGAAACAGATGAACAGGTCAGCCAGGGGGCCCTTGCCTACAGCCTTGATGATGGTCAGGAGCAAAGGTCAGATCTTACTGGCTGGGAGTTCCTGGGAGCAAGGTCTTAGAGGGTATGCCAGCCTGGAGCACTTTGGAGGGTAGCAGATGCTGTGAGGTGACCTTGTGGTGGATGCAGCCTGATCATTAGGTGGTGGGTTGGTTAGCTATTAGTGGCAATAGGCAGAGATAAGTATGCAGAGATGTGTGTAAACGTGTTGAAATCAGATTTGCACACTATTGGGGTTTCTACCCTGGGGACAACGTGGGTAATGCTCTTCCCCAAGAGGTGGGCAGGGGACAGACACTGATACTTTGGCTATCCCTTCCTGTACACACCCTCCTTGGGCTTTTCTTCTAGGCCTCCCAGCATCTCCAACACTGGTGGAGGTTGTTGAGATATATGTCGGTCCCTCTCTCTACTCCCAGGCCACTGGCTACAGACTCTTGTTTCCAGACCCTGGGTGCCTCTGAAGCCAGTTTGCCCTCAGCCCAGACCTCCGGTCACCCCAGCCAGGAAGGAAGTCTTTGATGCTATCCAGACAGGTATAGCTACTTGGCTTAGCTTAGACTTTTGGACCCAGACTCTCCTCTGATCTCTGCTTGAAGCTCCCCCTGTACTGCCTGACAGCTGTTTTGTAGCCTCCAGTTTAGCAGTGTGACGCTGAAACCTAACCCTTGGGGTAGATCTTGTGTAGATGTCTATGCTGTGACACAGATGCCTGGGCTAGAGTCAGCATGAATTCAGGGGGACAGACAGACAAGGGGACATACCTAACTTTGTTTTATTCCATGTGTGACCACAGTCTGAGCTCGCCATCTTACCTCTGTTGCTACCCCACTTCCCCCCAAAAGCCAAGATGGCTCCATGAGGCTAGGTTCCATAGGAGTGAAAGTTTCTTCTGGGGGCTTTGCCTGTTCCTTGAACACACTTCAGAGTTCTTGGAATCTTTGTGTTGCAGGCACTGTCTGGCTTCTTCAGGGAACCCTGCCCTGGGTCTGAGCAGTTGGGAGGAAACAATAGGGACAGGTTGAGGGGAGAGCCAATAAAAGGGATGGCAATGAGGTCTCCAGGGAAGGGCTTGTCAGTGTGAGGTAGAAGTTGAAAGTTGCTTTAAGGGAACGTGTTAGTTAGCTTTCTCTTCTCTGTGACAGATTTTACCTCACAGGAACAACTTTGGTTTATACTTTCTGAGATTTCAGTCCATGGTTTTTTGACCCCATTGTTGTGGAGAGCATTATAATGGGGCAGTGGTGTGGATGTAGTGAAATCATTTCATGGCAGCCAGGAAGAAGGGAAAAGACGTCAAAGGAATAAGACCATCAAATTATGAATTTATCAGTGTTGTTGTGATCATTATCATTGATTTTTCTGGGGGGTGGAGGGCAGAGTTTCAACATGTAGCCTTGGCTGGTCTGGAGCTCACTCTGAAGACCAGGCTGGTCTCAAACTCACAGAGATCCGCCTGCCTGTGCCTCCTGAGTGCTGGTATTAAAGGTGCATCCACCATAGCCAGTACCCATTACCCATTAGTGTATTGATTCATTGAGTAGGCTAGAGCCCTGGTGATCCAGTTACCTCTCAATGATTGGACCCACCACTGTACTCTCAAAACAAAAGCCTTTTAGGGGAATATTGCATAGCTGAAATATAACAAGGAGAGAGAAGTGTGGAGGGGACTCTGGCTGGTGTGGACTAGGCATTGCTGATTCTGTGCCAAGTGGGTAGGAACTTAAGGCCAGTTTAAGAAAGAAGGCAATGTGGGGGTAGGGGATGAGATGGCAGCTGGAGAGGTTAGTCAGACAGCAGAGAGGCTATCAGACTGCTAGGCACTGCTAAGCAACACTTAGCAACACATGGCACAGTGGAGAGAGCCCAAGAGCCACTCCAGGGCAGGCAGATCAGACTCCACCTAGCCTAGCTCTCCTAGGCACTTTCTATTCCCCAGTACCTCTACATAGATGTGCCTTACCTTCTGAGTTCCAACCTCCATAGAGTGTCCCACAGGGGTCCCTGAACCTGGCTGCCCATTGTGTGGTTGTGACTGAAGGCATTGTGGGCCTGCTAACACTCTCTCTCATTGCTCTTTTCTGCCCATCTATCTGCATGTGGCTGCTCTGTCTAGCTGCGCGGTGGTCCCGAGTGCCGGCTGTGTAAGTGAGCATGCCCATCCCATGCCTCTCACAGACCACATGCTGTGCCTGGCCGCCCCTGGTTGCTCTGCATGGCTGTGTGGGGCTTTGGTGCTACTGACAGCTACTGAGACTGTCCTTGGCCATAGTAAGGGGTAGAGATGGGAAGGCTATGGGAGTAGGCTTCCTTTAGACTGGCCACCTCAGGCTGGCATCCCCTCCAGCCAGGCAAGCTGAGGCAGGGCTGGATGTCCACGATACTGCCAGGTGAGGATGGGAATTGAGGTCCCATTTGCCTTGTGTGTCTGCCTATGTGCTACCGCATTCCTGTCATTACTGCTGCATGTTGGCGGCACATGTAGTCACCATTGCTGCTGTGGTGTGCTCTTCTGTGCAGGGAGATTGCCTTTCTGTTTATGGTGTGCTGTTGCCTCAACCTCTTGTGGGTGTGAGCCTTATCTGGTGTTTGTCTCCAGTGTTCATGGACCTGTTTTGTCTTGTGCCACTGCCAGCCTTTACCATGACTCGGCTATCCCTGAAACAAACTGGCCTAGGTTTTCTGGGTCTGTTTATGCTTGAGAACAGACCTTTATGAGGGGAGTGGTCAAGATGTTGTTCTAATCTTACAGTCCAGAGCATCTGTGGATGGAACCCATGCCTAGAGACTGTTAGAGGCTGGCAGGGAAGGGCAGGCTGCTCTTGTCCATGAGAAACTTTCCTTTGGTGAACTTCCCTTGGGGCCTCCATGGAGTGCTGTGTGGGTGACTAGTCTTACTCCTTAGATTCTGGTCAGTCTAAGAATTCCCCAGATCAAGGCACAGGCCAGGATGTTTTTGGTTTTTATCTTTGGATTTCTAAAAAAGAGTGACCACAGGATATTCCTCCAGCCCTGGTCCTCCTGGCTCTGCTCCCCTCTGTCCACCCCTTTACTTTCCACCCCTCACCTGGCCCTCACCCACTCTCCCTCCGCAGGCTCTTCAGCAGCCTCGGTGAGCTGAGCACCATTTCAGCGCAGCGCAGCCCCGGGGGCCCGGGCGGAGGGGCCTCCTACTCGGTGCGGCCCAGCGGCCGGTACCCCGTGGCGAGACGAGCCCCAAGCCCAGTGAAGCCCGCATCGCTGGAGCGGGTGGAGGGGCTGGGGGCGGGCGTGGGAGGCGCGGGGCGGCCCTTCGGCCTCACGCCTCCCACCATCCTCAAGTCGTCCAGCCTCTCCATCCCGCACGAACCCAAGGAAGTGCGCTTCGTGGTGCGAAGTGTGAGTGCGCGCAGCCGCTCCCCCTCGCCATCTCCGCTGCCCTCACCTTCTCCCGGCTCTGGCCCCAGTGCCGGCCCGCGTAGGCCATTCCAGCAGAAGCCCCTGCAGCTCTGGAGCAAGTTCGATGTGGGCGACTGGTTGGAGAGCATCCACTTAGGCGAGCACCGAGACCGCTTCGAGGACCATGAGATCGAAGGCGCACACCTGCCTGCGCTCACCAAGGACGACTTCGTGGAGCTGGGCGTCACACGCGTTGGTCACCGCATGAACATCGAGCGTGCACTCAGGCAGCTGGATGGCAGCTGACGCCCCACTCCCTCTCCCGTTCCTGCTGCGCCCTGCCGGCAGGGCCCCCACCCCTATTCCAGGCCGCAGGCTCGGCTCGCCCCCTACCACGGCGCCCCGGGCCAGGAATGTTGCATGAATCGTCCCGTTTGCTGTTGCTTGGAGACTTGCCCTGTACATTGCTTAGTGCCCTCCCCTGCCGCTGAACCCCACCCAGCACACAGTAAGGGCGCGGACCAGGGGGACTGGGTGGAAGGGGGTTAGGGCAGGGTGCTCTGGCCTGACCACCTCCTTCACAGCTCCTGGTGGCCATTCTCCCAGAGGGGGAACTTAGTCCAGCATGCGAGGTCAGGACACACCTTGGTGACTCGGGGGGGAGGGGGGAGACATTGGGGTTCTCGATGGGGGCAAGGAGCCCCTTGTTTTACATATTTTAATCCACTCTATATTTGGAACGAGAAAAGGAACAAATATCTCTGTCCGTAACAGTTCCCACCCTCCTCCCCTCTAGTCCTCTCGCTGGTCCCGCCACAGCTGCCCAGTCTTCCATCTCCGGCCCCTCACTGCCACCCCATACAGGGCAGGGGACACTCCAGCTGGCCTGGGGTTAGCCAGGGTCCTGGCAGCCCACCCTGGGGACCCCGGCTCAGCTCCCTTCCCTCGCTGAGCTATAGTATGCCCCACCCACCCTTTAGGTGCTGCTCAGGGGGACGGGTGGCAGGCATTGCCTGCTGGGCACTAGCAGGGCCAGGTGGCCTGGGAGATTATTGCCCTGGGGCTGGGCCCCGGTAACCCAAACCCCAGCCATCATCTTCACAGGGTCTCTCCCAAAGGAGGGGTCTAACCTTTCCACTTCTTGGGCAACTACAGCAGAGAAGCCTCCCTGCCTCGCACCCCAAAGACTCCCCATTCCTGCTCTGTGTGTGTGCCACATGTGTGTGCACGCCTGTGTGCTTGTGAAAACTGGGTGTGGCTGAGTGCATGGGTGCCTGATTGTGGAGTGGTCCCCAGGGGCTGTTCTGGATGGGTGGGAGGTTGCAGAAGCTCGCACAGGGTGCATGCATGGGTGTGTGCCTGTGAAAGTGCCCTGTCTTCTCCAAAGAAAGCTGCTCTCGGTCAGTCCGGTCGGGTTGTGCTGTTTCCTCAGCCGGTTCTGCCCGAGCCTCACTCAGCTTAAGCAGGGTTTCTTGGTGAATCCTGTCAGCTTCAGGAGGCCTCAAGGGCCCCCTGCAGGCCGTACCCTCTTTGGGCTTCTAGAGAGATTGTGGGGACCACTAATATCAGGCCACAACAGCCCTTGGAGAGAGGCAAAGGCTCCTGAGGGTACCCTGGCCCCCTTACTGTGACTCCTCACACTCAGCAATGACCTGTGGGGTGGGGGGCCCTGGGGCATTTTTAAACATAGGGTTTGGAGTCTGGACTAAGCTCCATCCACGTCACTCACAAGTTTCTGTTTCTATTTCTAGCTTTTTTTAATAAAAAATAAAAAAAAGACAGAAAACAGATGTTTTCATGGCCCAGGGGCTTGGCACGCCGGTCTGTGCTGGCCCACCGGCCCCATTCCCTAGACAGAGTCACACCCACTAATCCTTTCGCCAACAGACCAGGTCACACACACAGCAGCAGTCACTGTAACAGACTGCCACATACACAGTCTCACATTTGCCTGTGGGTTTTTGGTTCTGTTCAGTTTGGGTTTTTAACTTACAGGGTCAGTTCTGCTTCAACCCCCCTTTTGTATGGAGTTCCATCTGGGGGCTTTCACCCCCTGCTCCAGTCCTGAGGCCTCCTGACCCTGACGTTGTGATACACCCCACAGAGATCTATGTTTCTTATATTATTATTATTAATAATAATTATTATAATATTATGTAATAAATTTATAAGAAATGAAACCATGTCTCGGTTGCTTGCTTAGGGTTAGGGAGTGGACAAGTCACACAAGCCTACAGCCTTGACCCAGTGTACTGTCGACTCAGCAGTATTATGTGGCGCAATCCTTTGTAGGTCTTCCTGTTAGACCAGCCTCCTCTGGACTGCTAGACCCTGGCTGAGGCTTTGTGCAGATTGTTTTAACACCTCACTTTAAAAATATTTATTTTTATGCCTGTCTACGTCTGCGTAAATGTATGCCACTTGTGTGAGAATGCCCTTGGAAGCTAGCTGGCACTTGGGACAGTTGTGAGCTCCCTCCGGTGTGGGTGCTGAGAACCAAATTCCAGTGCTCCTCGAGGGCACACAGTGCTCTCACCGGCAGAGCCATCTCTCCAGCTCTGGGTGACAACCCCTAGACTGATGGTCCTCTGAGATCCCTGTGTCACTTCTTTACCCTCTGGTGCTGGAAACGGGACCCAGGCCAGTACTTTGCCACTGAAAGTACACCCCACCCCACTTTTAAACCTAAGATTGGAAACCATCTTTCAGTGTCTAGTTGCTTATAAAATCTACTTTAAATATCCAATCCCACACCCTCTCCACTGTGCTCATCCGTGACTGCTGTGTTTAGTCTCACTCCCCCTGGGTTGATGATGCAGTAGGCTCCATTCCTACTTCTGTCTGTGCGCTCCCCCCCCCCCCCCAGCGCAGATGGCAAGTGCCCTTCTAGCCTTTCCTATACTTTCCCTCGCCTGTCTGGGGCTGGCCTGCTGCTCCTGGCTTTGCTCTAGTCCTTGACTACTGTGGAGGCACTTCAGGGCTCACTGTCTACTCACCTTCACTTCCTGCCTAGGTTGGCCACCCTTCACCACTCTTCCTGGGTGTGTGCTACTCCCCGCTTCCCAGGAGCTCTCCTTGTTTGGCTTTTTCCAGAGTTCATGTTGGATCCTCACAGCTCTTGGTATTGTCTCAAATTAGAGGAAATTGTTGCTTCTCACCTTGGGTTATCTCTACTCCCTATCTCTACTCCCTCAAAGGCCCGAGCTGGCTTCTCAAGGCTGTGACGTTGCCCTTTTCCTGTTACTCTGAGCCATGCACTAAACACGGACTTGACCTTCAAGGACACGGTTACAGGCAATGTGAGCAGCTAGCTGTCACTAGCCAGTCACATGGCAGTGAGCCCACACTTTGTGGCAGTGGGACAGGTGTCTAGCCAGGAGCACAGCCAGGAGGGCAGGCAGACAGATCCCACTCAGAAAGAAGTTGGAGAGAGAGACAGAGAAGTGATCAAGAGATGGAACATGCCTAAAGGGAGGAGCTCCAGAGAGGCAAGCGGGTTAGTGGCTCAGGCAACATGAACAGGGATGGCAGATTCTAAAAGTCATGTCTGGGTCAAGGGTAGGGCTAGGAAGGAGCTGGTTAGGAAATTGGGGAATAAAAGTAATCCCAGATGACAGGGGAGCCCCCTAGGCCTCCTTACCCAGGGAAAGAAAGAGTCCCAGGTAGCTTCAGGGAGCAGATGAAGATCTGGTGGCCTAAAGTCATACTTACTTTGAAATGCCTGTGCTTCCTTGAAACTTAATGACAAATTTAAACTTGGTTGGGCAATGTACCTCACTAGTCACTGTAACGCCAGGGCAGGTACCAGGCTTATAGCCCATTCTAGAATTGGAGCAGGCTCATTCTGCAGTTCTTGTAATCACCTAGGATGTAGACACTAGATCTCCAGAGTCAGCCCTTCCATGCTTCTCGTCTCCTGTCTCTCTCTCTCCCGCCCCCTGTGTGTGTGTATACACACATATATTTGGTTTTTTGAGACAGGGTCTCTCTGTGTAGCCTTGGCTGTCCTGGAACTTGCTTTGTAGATCAGGCTGGCTTCCAACTCACAGAGATCCACCTGCCTCTGCTTCCCTACTGCTGGGATTAAAGATGTGCACCACCTCCGTCCAGCTAACTTCTTAAATATTTTAAACTAGGTAACTATCTTCAATTTTAAAGTTATGTTCAACACATTCACCTTACATGCTAAGTAGTTATAAGGCCGTGATGCCACAAAATTGCATATATAAACATTTAAAATAAAAACTCCCTTTTAAGTAATTATGGGTTTAAATACAGGGCAGAGGCCCCATCTCTGGGGGCCCCATCAGGCAATTGGGCCACTTGTCCCCCATATGCCAGCAGAACAGATGAGCTGTAGTGAAAAGTAGAGAAAGCAAATTTAACCAAGTGGCATATTGGGAAGGGGAACCAAGTCTGGGGCTCTGACATGAACTTGTTTATGTGGGGCAGTAGGCAAGAAGCATGTATATTAAGCAGGCCAGCTCAAGTCTGGGTTATCCACTGGATGGATCACTGTCTCAAATTTAATTCCGAGGAGGCAAAAGAAGTACTTAATATTGATGGAAGCAAAGTAAAGATAAAGATTCTCATAGCATGGTGATTATTCCCACTTTAGGGCATGGCCTTACCATCACAGATACGTTTTTTCTTTGATGAGTGGTGTGTGCAGGGCTTTGCTGTATGGAGCACCCAGGGTGGCTGTAGGCTTAAAATAATGACTGGGGACCTTCAGGGGCCCTTTTTGGGGGTCTGGAGCAAGACAATATAAAACTGACAGTAAGAGGCTGGGAAGATGGGTCAGTGGAAAAAGTATGTCACGAAAGCAGGAAGACCTGAGTTCCAACCTCCAGAGGCCATGCAAAGCTGGTACAAGAGCAGGTGCTTGTAATCTCAGTGCTTCTATAATGAGAAGTAGGAGGCAGGGACAGGTTCCTAGAAGGTTGTTGGCCAGCTGGTTTCCTAATATCCATAGTGGCAAACAACAAAAGGACTCTTAGACAAGGTAAGGCAAGGGCTGATGCCCAAGAGTATCCTCTGATAGTCATACATGTACTGGGGGCATTCAATTTCTTATACATAGCAATACACAACACACACACACACACACACACACACACACACACACACACACACACACACACACACACACACACAGGGCTCAGTGAATATTTGTGCCTTCAGCCTTGAAGGCTGAGATGAGGTAGGTACATATCACTGGTTTTTAGACACCAATTGATATCCCTATGGGCAGAGTTAGGCAGGTATCTGACCCAAAGTAAACAGACATAGAAAATGAAGACAGAGATGCTAGGCTTCCATTCTGCTTTTAGTTACCTTGTGGGCCCCAAAGCAAAAGCAGTTTCTAAATGTTTGTTATATTCACAACTTTATACCTATTAAAATTCTTTTAAAGTGCCTGAGTAAACTTTTATCTGTAAAAGTTTTATTATTATTATACTGATTTGTTATCTGCTGTACTAATAAGTTCATTCTTTTTTTTTTTTTTTTTGTTTTGTTTTTTGAAACAGGGTTTCTCTGTGCAGCCCTGGCTGTTCTGGAACTCACTGTAAACCAGGCTGGCCTTGAACTCACAGAGATCCCCCTGCCTCTGCCTCCCGAGTGCTGGGATTAAAGGCATGCACCACCATCACCATCTGGTGCCATTTCTTGTTTTTAAATCATATTATTGCATCTTTATTTTGTGTGTATGTGTGTTAGCTTGTGTGCATGTTGTGCCTATGAAAGTCAGCAGAAAACTTGTGGGAGTCCATTCTCTCCTACCTTCATGTGGGTTCTGGGATTGAACTTGGATCATCAGGCTTGGTGGTAGGTACCTTTATGCTGATCCATCTTGCTGCTCTCCAGTTCTTGACCACTTCCCAAGCCTTGGGGGCTGCTCATCAGGTAAAACCTGGCACCAATTTACAGTAATGGAAGCCTTCTAATACTCAGTGGTTAAGCTGAAACCTGTTAACTCTCAGGTTGGTGAGAAACGACAATTTAACTTTCCTATGGGGATGGTGAGACTTACTATCTAACAAAGGTTGAGAAAGAGGGACCTTACACTCTGATCCAGGACAGACAACCTGATACAGAGAAGAAACGTATCTTTGTGATCCAGATAAAAGCTCCCAGTGATGGTCAAATGTTCCTGAGAACCCTGAAGTTGACTTCTTTACGTTCAGGTTGAGGAGGGGTCATCTTATGACATATGACATACAGCCTAGGGAGGGAGATGTGACCTCCTAAAAGTTATATAAGGAAGTATGACATTTAGTTAGAGAAAATACCTGGAGAAATCAAGATCATCCCATACTCCAAGAACTCAACATGGGGGGGGGGGATAAAATGGCTTGGTGGGTAGGAGGGGGCATCTTGTGACAGCCCTTAAAGGGGCTGTCACCATTCTATCCTTTGGCAGGCTGGTGGAAACTTACACTCAGAGGAGATGAAGTCTTCTGACATTGCAGGGAAGGTGGAACATCAAAGTATGTGATGTTCATGTCATAAGATCTTCTGACTATATAAAAAAAGACACTTGATACGCAGACAGTGGTCTTGAAAATTCCTGCTGCTCATGTTTAGGTGAAAGTCACATGTGGCTGCAATTAGTTCAAAAGAAGAGACTGGAGACCTTCAGGAAACATTGTGATACTCAGCAGTGGACAGGAAGGTGGGCTTTGAAGTCATACGTCAAGGAAATTCAAAATGGCGATTACAAAGTGTTCTGATGACATACACTTCTCCCCTCACCATGTACCGCAGATCTGTCAGTCAGTGGAACCTGACTTCCCTTAGACCTGCACATACTGTATTACCTCATTACAGGAGGGCCAAGCTGCTGTGCAGTCCATGAGTCATTAGTGGCTCCGCCCCCAGAGAGCATATCCCCAACATTCATAAAGTGAGACTTCAGGAGACTCACCAAGGATGAACAAAGGTCTTAGGACAGAGCAAATGGGTTTCACATGAGTCCCTCAGCATCCTGAGGTAGGAGAGTTTACACAGGAAGTTGGGATGTCACTTCAGCATGAATCAGTTAATCAAGGAGGCCTGCCTGGCCTAACTGCTGAGGTGGGGGTGGGAGATCATCTTGCTGATTGGCCAGAAGGCCGTGGAGCTTTGTGAGGTCACAGCTTGCAGGCCAGGTTAGGGCAGGAGTATGGTAGAGATGCTC